GTGGCAGATGGCCCAGCACCCCGTTCGAAGTCGAATATGCTCCGATGACATGGTCATCAAGGAGCGATTGTGCTCGCGAGAAGGACGGAATTGATACTTCTCCTTAATGGTGTCGAGAGCTCGTCGAGACGCATCAACCAATGGGGGTTGAGAGGAAGCGGCTTCAGACGTAATTCTCATTCTTTTCGTTTTACGCATGAGGAGTTCGGGGTCGACGTCAGGCAGGATTGCCAAGGTAGAAGCTCGAGTTTGACGGGAGGAGGTGGAAGGAGACAACTAATCTCGTCAGCCAGTGAGAGATAGGAGGATATACATCGAATTCGAAGGGAATTGCTTACAGTACGCTTAGACATGCTCACAGACAGGTCAGAGTTGGAAGGATACTCTAAGATATGAATAAGATATGGATGGATAATGATAGATAAGTAAAAAGAACGACAAACAAGAGGTAAAGAGAGAATGAGGAGGAAGGAAGAGAAAGAAGACGGGGAGGTAACTTGGTCAGTAATTTCTCGATCACATTGGAGGTCCGTGCGGGTGACGCGTTTTCATGGCAACCGTCACACTAGCGTGGGTATGATGTCAGGGCGCACCAAAGGTGTCTAAGAACAATCCATGTGCATCACCTGGTTACAGGGTTCAGGATCCTCGGCGAGGATCCTTGAGACAGGGGGGGAAACTTGTTACGGGGTAACAACGAATCGAGAGGACTCTATCGAGTTCGACGGATTAGGACAGAGGAAAGCGGGAGTTGGAGGCAGTGCTGCAGTAGGTAGGGACGGGTTTTCCCTTTTCGAGATTTCCCCACTGGGTTTGCTCAAAAGCGGTTTTTCACCTGTCCGAGTATGTACATAGACGCTTGCAGTAGGACTGAGAAGAGGACACGAATACCTGTAGACAAGTATATAGTACAATCAGCAAAGTACCACCTTTGCTGATTCTTCAATATCATTCTTTGGCTACATCGATTGCAGAGGAGACACGATCCATTAGCACCAGAGCCCCTAGAGTTCCACGAGACATCCATCGAGTTCGACCCCACCTGCGACCTAGTCATCGTGTTTCCAGTACCGTTACACCATCCCGGCCCACGCCTCATGTTCACCATCCAATGACGAATACATCAAGGAGGTTTTGGAGTTATCCTTGGACTGGTTCTCGTCCTTCGAGACCGTATGTCCTTTCTTATTATTCTTATTATTATTATTATTCCTCCATTTCTTTTTACCTCCATCTTTTCCATCTGCGTTTTCCTTCCTGTTCGTATCCTCTCTTTTAGGTTTACGACAGTACTTCGCTAGATGTCCTACAGTGTCACAGTTATAACACTTTCTGGTTTCTTTTCTGGGCTGACCATCAGAGATATTATCTCGGTTCACCCTCATTCCTTTATTTCCTTCGACGAACATCGCGAATCCCTTCCTATTGGTTCTACCAACAGGGCGCGCTTTACGTCTCGCCGTTTCTTTATTGAAGATCGATAAGACCTTTTCCCAAGTTCTTTCCTCTGCTATGAGGGATGTTACTTCGATCTGAATGATCCTGTAGGATGGTGCTAGAATGGTATTGAGGAATAACCCAGCTCGTTCCTGTGAGTCAAACTTCAACCCTACCAATTTTGCTTCGGACATCGTCTTCGAGAAATCCTCTACATGCTTGGCCATTTCTTCGGCCGTCGCATCGTCCCTTAAGTCATAGCTAAACAACGCTTGACGGACATTCCTTTGATTCTCAATCGTCGCTGTTACATGCAGGGCTATGCAGTAGTCCCACATTTCTTTAGCTGACATCTTCTCAGATATATCAAGCATCACAGCATCCGACACTGTTCCCTTGATCATCCCCTGCGCTTTATTCTCCCTCGCTTGCCACTTTTCCCATTCCTTCCACTCTTCTCCAGTAATCCTTCTACCAGCCACTTGCCCTTCGACGGGCGTGGTAGGAGGTACTGATCCCGCCCTCTCAGCTGCCGATCTAACCCCTACGCGACCAGGTTCGGTATCATTACCTGTGACGATATTCCACACGTCACCTATCTGTAGATACACCTCGATCGACTTCCTCCACGGAGCATACGATGCTGGATCGTGGGATAACTTTGGGTGGTTCTCAAGAGAGATCTTAGACGACACAGAGGTCATTATGAGGAGAGTAGAAATGGGAACTTGCCTTTGTTATATTATACACAGAGGTATGTGGTCTTCCGACTGTTAATCTGTTAACGCTTATAATTAGATGATAATACAGAGGGGAAAAAGAGCATGCATCAATTCTACATGTCTCTATACTTATCACATTCCACTCACACGCATAAAACCAGAGACGATCGAATAAAGTTCAGAGGATAAGTTGAACGGAGAAATATTCGACGGAAGGGGTAATTCTAACGGCGGTTCGGCCGTCCCGGCCCGATTCTATCGGCTAACAAGCACTGCCTCCAACTCTCGCCGTTCTCTTTCCTAATCCGTCAAACTCGATGGAGTTCTCTCGATTCGTTGTTACTCCGTAACACCATAGCTCATAGACGCAGACTATTTTCAACGTCTGGTCCTGACACTGACCAGGTTGTTGGTGTCCGAAACCTTTGATAGTGGGTAGAGATGACATATTTGCTTCCCTCAAAGCTATGACGTCGTTTGATTCTTTCATGACTCTCACTGACCAATTGTCGACCCGGATAATACCCAGGAGGGACCGTTTGAGACCGTGGAATGGGCTCGATATCTGACTTGGCAGTTGTAGATGACGATGACTGAAGAGTTGTGATAGTGTGAGAAAAAATCGGTGGGCCGTAACGGTTTATGAAATCTGTTTGGTGGTGGATCATGTGAGACTCTACTCCTCCCCAGTTTGTCTGATCGCTGTAACCTGCAGCGGTCAGTTCAACAAGGGTTGAAGGCCAATTGTACTTGATGTCTCTGACCGTCAGGTGACTGGAGTAGAAGGCACCCCACAAAGTAGTTGTTGTAAACGATTCGGACCAAATTTCTGGATTGAACACTTTGTTTGGGTTCGTGCCCGGGTCAAAGGGAAAGTTTTTCAAATAAGAGGCTTCCACAATAGCTCTTCCATATTTCTCGTTCTGTGATAAAGTAGGTTGCACCATTGATGATGTTGACCTGTGACTGTAGTGTGCATGTTCATATCTACCCACAGCTGTGGCAAACTTCTCCATTTTATCATGATAATACCTCTGATGTTCTGTCAACTCATCATACAGGTCCCGCTCCTTCTGTTTAGCTTTCCCTAAGTCTGACCTTGATTTTAGTATAAAAGCTTGCCTTGCTTTCGATTGGAGAGGATGACCAGTCAAGTTCCAACCGGTACTGAAAACCTTTTTGTGTGACTTATCCCGTTCTTCAACAATTCTTTCAACTGTTGCTCTCATCACCATGATGACCTCTTGACTATGTTGAAGAGAAGCGGAAAGTTTGGTGATATTGCTAAGGATTTCTGAGTCTGCTATTGGGTCATGAAAGGTTTGGGAATTGATTCTCTCCTTAAAAATCCGAGTCATTCGAGTGAACATGATGGATATTTCTACTTGTCTTGTCCTTAGGGAACTAAGTACACTTGATATTGCCCTTGACAAGTGGTCTATTGGTTCGAATTTTCCATCAAGGGGGACATCCAACCAGGACTCCTCCTCAATCGATGTTTCAAACTTTTCAGTTGTTCCATCATGATGGTATAAGATGATACCAGTCAAATCAGTCACTTCATTCTTGAACTTACGGGTTAGAGGGTGATCCAGATACGAGGAGCATAATACAGGCTCCCCTGTTGTCTTATCACGACCAATATATCCTTCTATGGAAATGGCGTGCGGGACTTTCAGTATGAGTGTTTCCGATGGTCTATTGGTCATGATCAACACTTGGAGATTCAGGGATGAGGTTGATACGAAACTTGGTGCTTATAATCCGGATTAGTGGTCAACTGGGACAGACTAGATGAGTGAAGAGTTTCTTGGGCTTACTTCTTTCCCTTACGTGAGGAAGTGAACGGAGGTCTGACGATGGAAACTCCGCGATCCGCGACCCGTCATCGCCTTCGAGGAGTTTGAAACTTAGGACTTGGCTTGCCTACTTTGGAAATTCCCTCTCCTTTCCCTCTTCTCTTCCCCTCAGTCGGTTTTGATATCTATGATCTCATCTTCTCACCCTTTCTTCTCGCTTCCTCGCTTTCTCACCTTTTCACCTTATCACTTCTCACTTTCCACTTTCATCGCTTCATCGCTTCATCTCGTCGTCCCTTCCTCCTTCTTCCTCATCCCCCTCCCGGTTGTGGTAGATGAGATCTAAACTTTTCTCGAGTACAGTTTTACCGGTAGAGTACCCGTCTATTGTCCTTGCTTCGTAGGAATATAAGTCGTCGACGTTCCGACTTTCACATGTTCCGTGCGCTTTATACCAAGATGACTTTGGTTGGCGGACATCGCCGATCACCTCGTGGAATCCCCACCTCATTTCCACCCTCTCACCTTCCCCCCCCCCCCCATTCCTCCCTCCATTCTTCTCTTTTCTCTCTCATCTTGACTTTTGACTGTCAGAGTGACACGATAGAAGGTCATACAAAATGTCAGTAGCTGTCAAACGTACACCTAGCTCTAGCTCTAAGGGTGCGACGGTGGAGGAAGAAAGGACAAAGTTGTTACAACAGTATAAAGATGATGATGGACATTTCTCTCTCGTCCGGTGGGTTCTCCCTCCTTTCTTTGCTTCTCACTTCTTTGACTTCTCTCCATAATCTCTGAGTGGTCGTTATATGGAGATGAGAGTGAGGAGTGGATTTAAGAGAGAGGGAGAGAGCTGATATGTCTATTCTTTCGATCGCCACCCATCACGTTTCTTTTTCAACCGACTACTTCACCCTTTGTTCATCATTCCTCGTTCTCTCAACATCATTACCACTCCCTATGAACCTTCCTCTTGCTTACATCCCCAAATACGACAATCTATTCGAACATCTACACTCGCCTCTCTCATCTTCATACTCTACTGCCGCCCCATCATCAATATGTCTCTTGTCCCATCAATGATCCTCCTCATTCTGACTCCCCATACCCTGCACTACAACCCCCCCGTGTCTCATCCCAAACTCCTGACACTCACCTGCATTTCCTTGTCTTCTCAACTTTACCACCACCATTCATCGTCGCAGAAACTTCCGCCTAGCCGACCTCATAACGATAATGAACGGAGTTTGTGGAGTTCTATCCATTCTCTTCTCCTGTCATTTCCTAACTCTATCTTCCAATTTACCCGCACCACCATCCCCTACAGCCCTTCGGACTCTTTACATCGCTCTCATACTCCCCGCTTTGGGATTCGGCTTCGACGCATTAGACGGTAAAGTAGCTAGGTGGATGGGAGGTGGATCCATGTTAGGACAAGAAATGGATTCTCTTGCGGATTTGATATCATTCGGTGTCGCTCCAGCAACATTAGCATTCACATTAGGTCTTCGTACTCCTCTCGATACATTAGCTCTACTTTTATTCGTCTCGGCTGGTCTGGCACGTTTGGCAAGGTTCAACGCTACGGTAGCTTTGATACCTGCTGATAAAAGTGGTAAAAGTAAATATTTTGAAGGATTACCTATACCTAGTAGTTTAGCTTTGACTGGTATGATGGGATTTTGGGTGAATAAAGGTTGGTTTTTACAGAATGGGGAGGATATACCTTGGGGTACTATCAGTTTGTTCGGGAAAGAAGGATGGGGAGAAATGCATATTGCCGCTGGAGTGTTTGCTGCTTGGGCGGCTATGATGGTTAGTAAGACTTTGAGAGTGAGTTAAAGTTCATCTTCTCATCCATTTATTTCATATCTCGTTCCTGTCACTTCAAAGTGTTCTTCTTACCTGAACCTCAATCCAAATCCCCCGATACAAGACATGACTCGGGACGCTTATTTTTCCTTCGTCGTTATGTACTCGAGTGTCGATTGCCTCCCCCTCTGAACTCCACACCACTTCTATAGCCTGTATATAACAGTCCAGACAAGTTTGTAAAACGAAGTGAACCTGGTTGAGTGGGTTCAAGGCTGATTGGCAGGTTCCAAAGATATGACACTGAAACGAAATCCACTCATACACGTAGATGCCAATGCATGATCTCTTTCCTACTTTATTTATGGGTTCCTCTATCATATCCCTTAAGCTAGGTGTAAATCCTTTCACTGCTTTGACATTCCATCTCATACTGTTCAATGTAGGTATAAGCTTTTGTGTGGGTTTACTCCAACAACTCCTTCAGACGATCAACAGCCACTTGACATTCTTCTTCCGTACCAACAGTAATCCTCAAACAAGCTTCACATCCCAATTCATTCCCTCTAAACCTAACAACCACACCTTTTTCTTCCGCCATTTCTTTATACACTTTAGCAGCTTTGACATTATCGGCTTTACCATCTGTTACGATTTGAGCCATTATGAAATTCGAATGATTACCTCCTATTATCCCTCCGATACCTTTGATACTTTTAAGAGAATCGATAAGACGAGAACGGTTTTTGTTAAGAGTTTGGACGGTAGAAGACATGAGTGCGATACCTTCTTTTGATAAAGCCGACAAGGCTAGGGAAGCGGTAGGGACTGAAACGTTGTAGGGCGCTTTGGTGTTGGTTAGGATTTGGATGAGAGGGGGAGGGGCGATTAAGTAACCAAGACTGTATGGTTAGTATGTTTTACATGAATCGTTGAGGGGTTGTAATGAGGCAACAATGATGGGATTGGATATGGCGACGATTTGCGCGTGAGTCGGGAGTTGTTTGAGGCTCGTATGTGGCGCTTTGTCTTGTTCGAAGGTTGTTCAAAGTTGTTCAATTGTTGTTTGAGAGTGGTTCGAGAGTGATGGGAGAGTGGCCCGAGAGTTGTTCAAAAGTTATTCAAGAATTGGTTGGAAGTTGCCGAAAGTTGTTTCAAGTGCAACTCGAATTCCGCTTTAAAATCTCCAGTCTTGCCTTATATTCCTCGGAAATAACCCACAAGCCGGTCAGACTTTTATTGGATGTCGTTACGAAGTCCGACCGGAAATCGTACAAGAGGAGTGCAAGTGTGATCCAAGTGAAGAGAAACGAGGAAGAGAGAAACCAGCAAACCACTCACCGAATCCCAGCCAAACCAAAACCTTTACTCAAAGTTTGAGTTACACACACATTCCCAAATTCCTTGACTAACCCAACGGCGCTACTTCCCTCCGGTGCGAAATCGATATAAGCTTCGTCGACCACTACGACGCCTTTAAACTTTTTGTTCTCGGCTATACGTCTGATGACGGGTATAGGAATGAGAGTGGCAGTGGGGTTATTAGGGGAACAAATGAAGATCATTTTCATTTCGGGGTATTTTATGAATGCTTCTTCGAGCTGGTCATTAGTTCTTTTTCGGTACATTTGATTCCACCCTTATCAAAATATAGCATCTCTTGTGAGGACAGTGTCAACCTTGATAGCTCCTGATGTTGATTTGTGACAAACCGCCATGTCTAAGAGGAATGGTCTCATTGACGATATCGAACTCTAGGGCAAGGTTTTGTGCTGAGAATATAACGATTCAACTCACTTTCTCCTCATCCAATTGAAATTTTCCTCCCTCCGTGATCAAAGGAACACTGACAACCCCCACATCATTCATCGCCGCACAGACCTTGTACATTCCATAAGTTGGGGGAGTTACCAAAACCCTATCTTTTCCCGGTACACATAACACTCTGAATAAAAGATCTACCACTTCATCTGAACCTACACCGAGAAACACCCAATCTTCATTAGGTACTCCTCTGAACGATGCGATCCTACGTTTCAAATCGTCGTGGGTAGGTGAAGGATACCTGTTGAGGCTCTCGAGTTCAGACAGAGTCAATCCGACATTGTTCGATCCGTTGACTTTGGAAGGCTCAGAAGAGGAGTCAGATAGGAGAAAGGGGAGTGAAGGTCCTATAGCGTTTTCATTGGCATCGAGAAGGATACCAGAGTCGTAGTCATCCCTCGCACAGCGATAGGGTTGCAAAGCTAGGATGTTGGGTCGAATAAGAGGTTCCAGGGAAAAATGAGGAGGGTGAGTTGGGCCGAGGGATTTGAGTCCTAAGATTGGCATTTTGGTATAGTTTGGCTCTTTTTTCGACGAAAACAAAAGGAACTGATGATAAACAGTGATATGAATGACACGGAGTGGGAAGAAAAAAACTGCACAGGGGGGTTGGGTGACTTTATATGAGTGACAAGTGATCAAGTCTGTGATCTGTGAGTGATGGGCTGAGTCGAAATTGACACTGATCGGGATCATTTTCCCACGGTCGTCAAAAATGAAAATTCCAGCCAAAAGTTAAGTCCACTCCTCACCCCAAAGTTTCGTCAAGACACCGCCTATATTGAAACCTCTTTGATCATCTCCACAGCTTGTCATCAGCTGTGTCAGAGTGGACATCGAGGGGAAACAAGTGACTCAAACCATCTAGCTGATAATGACAACTCTTCTCCCTCCTCCCAAACGACTCAAATCAGCTTATTCTCAATCCCTTCTGCCCCCTCCTGCACCTAAACAAACCCCCACAGTAGTCGTCCAATTCCGCAACTTTTCAGATGCTTCAGATCTAGGTCCTTCTGTCAATCTACCTGCCGATACTTCCAGAGAAGCACTGCAACTTCTCGTCAACCGATTGACACGTACAGAAGACCCTTTACCTTATTCATTCCATCTCGTCCCCCGTCCCCCAGCTACTTCTTCGTCTTCAACACCGGCCAGAGTACCTATCAATACTTCTATCCTTGAAGATGCGCTGGAAGCTCCGACTGTGAAGGGATTGTTCTCTTCGGAAGACGTTTTCGAAATTTGGTGTGAACCTCAAGCTGTGTTTCGTGTGAGACCGGTGGGAAGATGTTCGGCTACTTTGTCAGGCCATGCTTCACCGATTTTATGTTGCGCTCAGAGTCCGACGGGGAAATGGGCGGTGACGGGTTCGGGGGATGCTACGGCTAGGATATGGGATATGGAAACGGAGTTACCCAAGGTGGGTCATGTGTCCCTACTTGATCATTCTTCTCTTCATCATGCAAGAGATTCCCATTGCTCTTCTCAACGTATGGTATGGGACGGGAAGTAATCCTCACTGACACCACAGTGGACACTATTAGGGCACAAAGGCTGGGTTTTATGTGTGGAATGGGACGCAAGAGAGAAAATGTTAGCCACTGGGGGACATGATGGGCAGGTAAGTGACACATCCTTTTCCTAAGCCCTTCTTACTGACACCTCCTCCTTATGATACACAGACTTCTTGCTTTGACGTGTAGCACTTAATCCCATGATCCTTTCTTTTCCACATTCGAGATGAAGTAGAATCAGAAGACGAGGAAGACGATGTTGAACATTTCTGATAACTCTCCAGGTCCGTCTCTGGTCCCCACTCACTGGTCAAGCACTCGGTCAACCATTACTAGGTCATACAAAATGGATAACTTCTTTATCCTTCGAGCCCCTTCATCTTTCCCGTCATTCAACACAACTTCTGGCATCCGCTTCGAAAGATGGGACCGTCCGGGTGTGGAACACTTCCACCAGAAAGTTAGAATTTGTTTTGACTGGTCATGCGGCAAGTGTCAATGTGGTCAGGTGGGGAGGGGAAGGTGTTATATATACAGGAAGTAGCGATAGGACCGTGAAAGTATGGAGTGGACAAGATGTGAGTTTTGGCTTTCATCATTTGCCAATTTTCGTTTCCCCTTTTTCTCTATTGTATGATAATCTCCCTTTTAGACTTCGTGACGCTGTTCATTGGTGTTGATCTCCCAAAGCTGAGGCGTCTCTTGACGGGGTCCGTCGTTTTTCTAAACTTGCTTTGCGGATACATCTCCACTATTCTGCAAGCAGAGATTACCATGTGAGGTTTGGAATGTGTAACGTAGAAGCATATGTTAGGACGGAAGACGTAAAAAGAAAGTAGTTGATCACAGGGAAAACTCATAAGAACATTATCGGAACATGCTCATTGGGTCAATACCATGGCCTTGAGTACAGATTACGTACTTCGAACAGGACCTTTTGACCATACTGGTAAAATGCCAAAAGACGATGAAGAGGGTGAAGTTTCTTGTCTACCTGTTCCCGCTCACCCATACTTAATCCGCCTCTCTGTACACCTTCCTCTCTCAAGCTTTCACCCTGATCTTGCAATTATCACCCCTTCTCTGACGTTCTTCACTCATCGGGTCATCCAATTATCTCATGCATCCCCCTCTTCAGGTCCATCTCCCCCATTTCCCTACACTCGTCTTAATGTACAAAAGAAAAAAAGGAGAAAGAGGGGTTACTGACTTATAGCCAAATCCCTCGCTTTGGAACGATATCAAACCCTCATTTCCACCCAACCCGAAACACTCATCACAGGTTCAGACGATCATACACTTTTCCTCTGGCCTCCTCAATCATCAACTCTCCCATCTAACGTAACACCGAAAAAACCTTTGGCACGTTTAACAGGTCATCAAAAACAAGTCAATCATGTTGTTTTCTCACCTGATGGTAGATGGATAGCAAGTGCCGGATTTGATAATTCCGTCAAGTTATGGGAAGGAAGAACAGGTAAATTCGTTTCTAGTTTAAGAGGACATGTAGCTTCTGTGTATAGAGTAGCTTGGAGTGCCGATAGTAGAATGTTAGTTTCTGCTAGTAAAGATAGTACTTTAAAAGTGAGTCATTCTTTTTTCTTTTCTTTTCTCATTACCTTATCATCTCCCAAACTGGGTGACTTCAACCATTTGTTTTATTTCCTCCTATCTCAAATAAAGTGATCATGAAGGAACTAGGAAAGAAATCCAAGATTACTTCATAATTGGAATAAACCTACACTCTTGGTCAGAGTAGGTGTCAAACAAAACAAGCGAAGGTGTTATTATCTTCTGTGTATAAGAGATCATCACTCATCATTGGAGAAAGAGAAGAAGGGGAAGCATCTGAGAGAGGAGATAGGATAAGATAAGGGTTTTCATTGAAAATGTTCAGGAAATATGAAGATGATTATCGGTATTGATACTGATACACAGATTTGGGATTTAAAAACATATAAAATCCGACAAGACCTTTCGGGTCATACGGATGAAGTTTATTGTGTAGATTTCGTTTCTGATAAAGTTGTTTCAGGTGGGAGAGATAAGACTGTCAAAATGTGAGTTTGTCTTTCTTCTTTTATCTTTTTTTCTTTTTCTGTTGCTTCTTCACTTCTTGCTTTCCTCATCCCTATGTTCTTCACCATTAACACATGACATACATTCCTTCATCCTCTATTGACCTCTTGCCTGAATGAGACTCTCTACACTGACTAACTTTGTACAATTTCGTGAAGTCTGTATCAAAACCCTCTAGCCTTTCTGACAGAATTATAAGTATACCGTCTTACGACGAGAAATTCGTAGACAGGGTTATGATAGACTGACTTTCAGTTGGAGACATTAAATCCATCGTACACGCAAATCCAACGGATGTCAGAGAGAATTTATACCTGAGAATGAAAGTGGTTAACGTGATTACGTAGGATAGATGTGTATGTACAATGCATGCACAATTCTTCGTATACTATTTCTCTGTACTCTACTCTCCTTCTCCCTCTCCGTCGACTAACCATTGAGCAAAACCTTCTAATCGTTCTCTTTCACTCTTCTCTTCATCTTCTTCTGCTCCACGACCTGAACGGCGGAAACGTTCTTTACCAGTGTATAGAGATGCCGAGATCTGAAATTATCAGCCCATACCATCCATTGATGTTTTCGTACTTGATGATCAAACATCATTGAGTGGGAGGAAGATGCGCACGCTTGAAGAGTGAGAATATGACAGACTGATGAAAGAGGTTAAAGAGTTTAGGATCTTTCAAGGAAGATCTTAATTCCTCAAAAGATAATTTCAATTCCCCAACTGCTGAATAGGGACGAGAAACTTGATGGACATCATCACGCATGAGGCGAAAATGCAGGAATGGAAGGTGTGGTGTGCAGAGGATGATGGATTTAATGCGAAAAAACGAGGTATTGCCACGAAAGCTGAAGAGGTAGAGTAAAGCAAACAAGATGGAAAGAAAAAAAAGATTCCACATACCCTTCTTCCATCGAAAAACCGACCATTCATCTTGTTCACACAAGCTTGAGCAGAGATGGTGTCTTTAAACTTTATCGTCATGACCCCTTCTTCTTCTTTCTGACATATTCAGCGATCTTATATATTACACAGACCATACAGGGATCTCGAACAAGTATCTCCATTACGACAGACAATCATTTCACAAGCGCTATGAGAGGATATAAGAGTAAAGAGACGATCACATGAAAACCTCTTTAGGAAGGAAAGAACCTTCTATGGAAAAGGAGGGTTCGTAACGAAAGATGATTGAAGACGGATGGAGGAAACGTCATGGGAAATATTCTTTCAGTGAAGGATGAAAATGATGATATGTAAGAAATAAGAAAACAAAGAAGAAGACAACATATACTCACATCATATAAAACCACATTGGTCACTTCTCCCAATGTCTCAGCTTCTTCCCTTACATCCTCTTTCAACTCTAATAACAACCCCGGATCCTCGTCGAGATCTTTAGGACTGAACATGCCTTTCAGGACGACTACGCGGGTGAATCTACTTGCGCCTGGTTTAGGAGCACCGGAGGAGGGTGCGAGTGGGTCGTCGGAATCGGAATCGGAATGCCAAGTGATTTTCCTATCATTAGTCATTCAATCCATACTTGGAATGGGGAGGTCTTCAATAAATGGAGAGGTGGAGGGTACTGCAAGAGTAGTAGTCACTTCGAGGAAAAACAGCTTGTGATGTTCGGGTTGGAATATATCAATGATTCGATCATCTTGGGATAGATAAAGGCAAGAAAATGTGAGATTTCTGAGTTGGAAATGGAGAAGGGGAAGGGGAATGACTTGGCTATGATTAAGACATATGAAGTAGAGAAAGAAGACTCGACTCACTCTTGCATCCTCTTTATCCTCTTTGACATTTTCAACTTTTCTTCGTGACTCAAATTCTTTCTCTTTTCCCCACCTGTCTTTTCACCTTCTACATTCCCATTCCCCCCTTCACCTTTACCTTCCTTTCCAAACGCATCACCTTTTTCGTACTCTGCTTCTCTCACTCTCATATTACCAAACCCTCCACCTAGTTCTAACTCTGTATCATCCAACAAAGTAACCGCAAGACCTACACTACCTTCTTTGAAATACAATACCAATGCCTCACCCTTGAACCTACCCTCATCATCATAATACATTTTTATCCTAGGTTTGCCATCATCACCAATCATCAACACACCAGCTTTCGAAAACACGTTCGCCAATAATTCCGGCGTAGTGTCAGGTGGAAGATTTGTAACCCAAACTCCCGTTTTCTTCGGAGCTGACGCTTGAACAGGTTTCGAAGTGGATTTACCATTGGTGATGCCCACATCAGGGGTGGAGGAGGAAGAGATGGAAGCGAGGGTTGTAGCGGTATCGACCGTATTACCGGTTTTTTTCTTTCTTTGTGCTTCTATACGTTGTTGTCTTGCTAGAGCAGCGTTGGAAGGAGTCTATCGAAAACTCAGATTCGTCCTCATGTGTGAAGAAAGGGGATAAAGAAGGGGCCTTACGGTCTCGTCGACTCCTGATATGGAATACGCGGCTTGTTGAGCTTTCCATTCTTCTTCTTCAATCTGGACGTTGGTTAAAGGTCATACGTTGGACTGTAAGTTCTCTATTCATCTCTCCACAGGACACTTCTTTTCATGTCACTGTGAACCTTTCATACTGCGGAGCACAACCTAGAGGTTTCGAACAACGACAATGGCTTCGACTGACGAGATGTGGACGGTACAGGTTTTGTGGGGATCACCACAGGGCGTTGGAAGTTCCAATATCGGGCGAAGCCAGTCCTGAACGAGACAAATGTAGGCTAACGGGGAGGATACTGAGGAGAGACCAACAAGAATGGTATGATCGGCTTTGACGATGGAGGGTGAAATGCAAACAGAGGAGAGTCAGGAGTATAGACGACGTCAGAAATGATCATCCAAGACAAGATAGAGAAGGGTAAGAGACAGTACGAGTGAGGGTTCCAAGAAGAAAACCGTACCAGAGGAATCCAAGCCTTTCCCGTCCATTCATATTCTTTGCCAGTATCTTCATCTTCATACTGCCATTTCCCCGCCGTCTTGTCAAAATGAACCCTTGGGTCTTGTTCAAACTGACCAAAGATAGGTGCGTTAGGGGGCATGATGTCTCTATACCACTACTGTGTGATTTGTTCAAGATGAGTGAGAAGTATAGATAGATAGAGTAGTTGGAGTAACAAGTCGGGGTGAGAACAGGGAGGCGAATGTTGAAGGGAGGGGTTGGCTTACGTAATTCCCGCGTGGCATTGTCCTCACCGTATGGAGCCCCGCACGGACCAGTCTCGGGTTATAGCCGGAGGAAGAAGTGAATGTGTCTCCCTCCCCTGGCGACCCATCCGACAACTGCTTTTCTTCTCTTTTCCTCTATTCTTACTGATCAGACTTCGTTGATACTATATCTCATAGAAGAACAGCTGGTAGAAGATGTCTGCTCGTGAGTTTCAATCCTGCTGGAGGGTC